ACGTTTCGCCGTATTTGCAACAACCAAACTCAGACAAAAGCTCTTTTTGCTGCTAGTTGCCAGAGTGCAATTTTTTTCTCACTGAGCCCACACATAAGTCCCTCAATTTCATTGGGGTAGCTTTCCGCTGTTACAACACAAATTTGTGGGGATGCGGGGCGGGGGGTGGGGGGAAGGGAGGAAAGGAGCGGGCAGGGAGAGAAGATAGAAGAAAATACAACAGAAAAATTGCTCATCTGTCACTCTTTGAATCTTGTTTCTTTCCATCTGAAACAGCCTACTTGAATGAACTTTATATCATCCTTTGGATTTCACTATTTTCACTGGTAAGGTGTTAACAGTTTTATATTTGAGCTATCCTCTAGAAATCTTCAAGCCACTAGATGTTGGAAAGAACATGGAAAAAGCAGTTCCCTTTCTCTAAGGGGTGAGAGCATTGTGTTTTTGGATTTAGTTTGTTCAATTAATATACAAATATTCACCAGCAAAATATTAAAATACAAGAGTAGATTGAAACACTACGCAAGCTGTGACCCTCAAAATGATACAGTACAGAACTTATCATTTATGAGCATCCAAAAACATGACCCGAAACCCAGCTAAGCAATCTTAAATTTTCATATTAAAAAAAAAAAAAACAGTTAAAGTTGACATATTTCTCATTTCTATATAGATAAGGCAGACATGGTTGCCTAACTACTTCCACAGATACCTTAACATAAGACTACTACTTCGCATTCCTCCTTTACGCCATACCATCAAAAAAAGCCCTCCCTTCCTAGGAGAGGATTGAATTTAGTGCACATAAATATTTCATAACTTCATTCTGTCAAGAAATCAAACTGAACTACTTAAGGGCATTCTTCCAGGAGCTTCACACCCCAACTGGAAATATTCATCATATCCATTTTCCCACTTCAATCTGAAAGCCCTAAAGGTGCTGCAGCAACAATGAAAGACTGAGGACCTTATGTGCATATCATCCAAGAATAATATCCACCGAGCATTCACCTCCGTTAAGAAATGTAGAAACAACACAGTAAGGCTGTCGTCTTTGAAGAAAATATGTTACCAACTTTTCAATTCCCTTCTACATCCTGGTCCTCCAAAGAAAATGAATTCTGGCTTTGATAAAACCTCACAATCACTGAAACAACCAGCTACCACAGACATACTAGCTAGCTATGAAATCTAAATGGGATGTACGTAAGACATCTGAAGGTTGTTTGATTTCCAACAGTATAAAGCACGTGCAGCTTCCACTGGCCTCAAGAGGAATTCAGCACCTAATGAACAGACAAGGTCACTTCTGTGTAAACTAAAACTATGACTTGTGGATGAGTATCTACAAGCTGTACATTTCAGTGGTGCAGAGAAAAGAACTGCATCCTGATAAAACTGGTACAAGACACTACTTGGTTAACAGAGATAGCCTTAAACTTCATAAGCATCAGATAATATGCATTTGGAATGGACTTTGTAATTTATTTTCATCAGTATGTTATCAAGAAGCTCTCCAACAGAGCTCCACTTAGCAAGACAAGGACAGAGATGAAGACCAATGACCGTGGAACAGCAGGTGCTCCAGACTCTACACAAATATTGCATGTTCCCAACTTTTTCCCCTTTAGCAGACCACATGCTGACTCAAGGCTTGCTTTTCTCTTACTGCAAGACAATTTCCTTTGGAAATAGAAAAAGTCTGCTCTTAGTACCAGAGAGACTATGGCATCTATATTCTTTATAAAATATTGATTTGTCTGCCATCTGTCATTCCAGAAGTGAAAAAGTATGTCCATATGAGCAGGTAAAAGCAGACCCACAAGCCCTTGCTCCAACTCGGAACTAGCCAGACCTGAACCAATTCCAGTTCAAAAGCCAAATTGTCAACTTATTGCAGTGCTATATCCAAGCCTGCCTTTTAGCAGGATTTAGTAGAGGGCTGGACCTTCACTCATACAGCCAGACCAACAGCTGTCTCATGTCTGGCCATCTCAGGGCATGCTCAACAGAGCTCAGGTCTGTCTACTTCCATCTGTGTGTGCCCATATGCTTTAAGGGTGGCACACAGGAGAAAAAGCCTTTGCACAAAGTTAGCATCATTTTTGTCTCCCCAACAATTATGGTGAATTATGGTGCATTCCTGTCCCCAGTTCTGAAACGAGACCACCTTGCCCACCCCCTCCCCACAAAAGTCCATAAAGAAGGGTGGGAAATAGCTGGGGGGGGGGATACTAGCCTCATAACTCATCAACTTTCTCTGCACTCAAAGTTCTTGCAGGGCCCTTTCCATGAGACAGGTCAAGAGGAATGGGGAGGTTAGGAAGAAGTATAACACAGAGACAGGGAAATTAGTAAGTCATCAATATAGCCTATTAAAGTCTGAATCACTGCCAGCAATCTCAACTAAATTGACAGCCTAAAGTGCAGAGACTGGGAGGCCATGTTAGCTGTTTCAAGTGACAAAAGGTATTACCACAGGAGGAACTCTTTAACATAGCAGCTTTGCCATTATAATCACAGGACAGTGTATGGCTGATAATAATGAAAAATAGTCAGATGCAGTTAAAAAGGCAAAGAACCTTCTCTTTAACCTGCTCCTGAGCACCAGCTCCAAGAAAGCACTACAAGGGATAGGAAATGTACTGCATAACCAAAGGACAAAGTCAAAAAAACCCTGGCTTGCATCATCGCAAGATTATGGGAAGTGCAGTTAAGTAATAAACCAATCCTGGTCTTGACCTGCACACAGGATAGTAATAGAAGACATTTCCTGTGCCCCTTTTTAACTGTCCAAATCAATACAAAACTTTGTAAGAGAATTGTTCCATTAGATCATATAACTGCGAGGGCACTTCATAAGCTAATGAATCATAAGGTCTGGAAATTTTTCCTGATTTCTGAGATATCTTCTGCATTCCCTTAGGGCTGGGAGAGTCAGACAGTTTTTATGGGGCTACCACACAACATACATACACAGCATCATACATCAGCTGTTTGAGCGTCATAAAGAAAAAATACACAAAAAACCCACGCACACACACCCCCAAATGATTATTTCCTCAGTTCTCTGTGCTAGCTTACTACTTCTGAAGAGAAGTATGTAGGAATAGTAAGATGTTGCTGTGATAGCCATTCAGTTGCACTATTTTTGATTTCCTGAAGTGAACAGAAACATGCAGACTTCGAAACCATAGGTTAGAATACAAGTGAAGAGTAATAAAAAGTTTTCTGGAGACTTAAAAGGCCTCTCAAGTTACCCCTCTCTTTTACAGGTCTGTTGCTTTTCCAGTAAACGGCAAGCAGATATTTTGTGATTTAGCCCACTTTGTTATTTAATACTCTGTCTTATTTGGCCTTGATGTAGCCACCACAGCATCACTTCAACGCAATATGGGGTCTTTAAGCACTGCAAATGCCCTTCTATGTTCTAACTGGCGACTTCGAGGACCTTTCTCGGGGGCTGGCAGCTGGCAGCGCAGGCTTCCCCGAGTGCCCCTCGACACATGCAGTAACGGTGCGGGGGCAGAGGGGGGGAAAACCCAGATATCCTGACGCAAGGCAGCGCAGGAAGACCCCAACCGAAGCCCTAGCTTTGCGCCGACCCCACGTTAAGGGCTGGCTGCGGGGCAGAGCCCGCACGGGGCAGCGTTTCGGGAAGCCGCAG